TTTGTCAATAAAAATGATTCAGCGAGTAGCTCTTTTAGGTGCAACCACTCACAACGTTTTACTTCTTTGTAATTAATCATTCTTTGTTTAGGGATATCAGCGAATCTTAGGCGATATAGAGCAAACACTCGATCGCCGTCAAGTCCTGGAAAAGTACTATTTGAAAGTTAAAGAAAATCTACAGGAAACTCAAGCAGTTAGCGAGACTGAGATAAATGACTTTCGGAGGGAAGCTGAGGTTCGTCTTGAGGATCTCGGAACCAAGAGATACCCTGTTCTTATTCTTGGTAAGTCTTGTAACAGTGGACCTGAAACCATTCTGAACCATTCTGATTGTCCCAGAAGAATTCAGGGTTTTTTCTTAATTACTAGTTCCTCTTGGTTGAGTCATCATTCGCCACTCTCAATACTTAAAAGTTTTGATCTTTCATTGTCAGCATTTCCTCATACCGAAAGCCGTGGAAAACTCTTCTCCCCAACGCCCCTTGGTCTGCATTACATTCCTTTCGCCTCGCAATCTTACCAGTCCTGAGACAAAATTATAGCAGTGACGAAATATGAAAATAACAAAAAAATAATTGAGGTTTTGGAAATACTAAGGAAATTTTCATCAGGTGCTTCAAAGGATTTTATGACTAGGGAATTTTGGTAATCATTTTTAGAGGTTAACCCATGTAGCTCGGTTGTGGTCCGACAAATTATCAGTCTGAAGGCACGAATCGCCTTTAATCCACGGGTGTAAAACGGCTAATTTTCAAATATTCTCTATAATAGAAATGTAATTCATGTTTCATTCTTTAAAACCCTTCCTATTTTCCTAAAACAGGAGAAACCAGCGCTGGAAAAAGCAGTCTTATTAACCTCTTACTTAACGACTCCATAATGCCAATCAGTATAAAGCAGAGTACATTGACCATATGCGAAATATCGTATGGAGCGATCAAAGAAGCTGTCCTGCACTTCGCTAATAGACGTGGGTTATCTCTTGTCCTTACCGGGCAGAGATTTGACAAGTATAAAGATTACATTAAAAAACCAATAGAGGATGAAAACTGGTGTGAGAAGATAGAGATCAGGATTCCAAATTTACTATTGAAGGTGATAAGACTTTTTGTGTGCGTACAATAAAAGTAACTGGGATAATCAAACAGTTCTGCATGGTATAGTAATAATCTTTGATAAACAGCTGAAAAAAAATCCAAGGTATACACTTCTCGAGCCCTTACTGGCACAAGCGTTTTAGCCAATTACAAAACACTTTTTCTCTCCTCTCCCCGCTCGCTGTTGTATAGGGACAACATCACTGGTGAAGCCGGTGGACATGTATCAAAACAGACCTAGGTATATATCTTTCGTTTAGTACTCTGTTTCATCAGGTGTGTTAGGTTGATAATGAGCTCTACCGTTCTTTTCTGTATTGTGCTGAGTTGAGCTGTAGCTCGCCTCTATATTGACGATGATGATCCTAGTGAATAGGAAAATCGCACTAGGAGTTTATGCACGACCAAACAGCATAAAAATGGATCACTATTCATTCAAATACTTAATAAGTATTCGTTTCTCTCTCTTTAGGGTGGTGTAGTGATCATAGACAGCCCCGGAATTGGCGATTCAAAGAGCGTCAGTGAGATCACCTTGAAATACTTAAGTCGAGCCTACGCCTTTATCTACGTGATAAACACTCCAAACGCTGGAGGATTACAAAAGGACAGGGTAAACTTATGATTTGCTTTCTATCTCATACACTGTTGAGTAAACATATATTATGTTCAGATCAAAATATGGGTCACTCATAAAGACGCATCACCCCATTTTAATTGTTTTCAAATAAAATGCCCCGACAGCAAATATGATTTTCCATTCTTAAAATCTAGTTTTTGCGAAAAATCTTTCAGCTGATGCTTATCTTGAGTGAATGGATAAAACTCTACAAGGGAAAAGATGGCTGTGGCATCCCTTCCGAGTCTGCTATTTTTGTCTGTAACAAGTGGGACGAGGTGGAAGAGCAGTCTAACCGAAATCAGGAGGAAAATCCTGAAAGGCACATCATCGACTCTCTCAAAAAGAACATTCCTGGACTGGATGGAAAATTCCAAATTATTAAGATGTCAGTCTCGAGAGCCACATCTGTACAAAAGAAATTCAACGTAATGAGTGATGATCTCAACAGTCTTGTGAATCGACTACAGCGTCTTCTGCCACTTTGCATTGAGAGAAAAACAGAATTTTTCTACTTGTAAGTTTGATTTCACACTTTGTTCTAATTATCCAATATCTTAAACACACGTTACTAAGGAAAACTTTTTCCAATTTCCCTCAACCCTTGAGGATAAATCTGTTTGTAGAAGCCAAGGGGTACAGATTATTGTTAATCCGATCCAACTAGATGTGACACTTTTCTATCAAAGAGGGCGTTGTAGATGTGCTATAAATTCAATACCTTTTTACGGCCGGAAAGAGCTACAGAAAAATGTTTCCCAGTAGATACATTTAAATCAAGACGTTGCGAAGTGTTTCCAAACCGTGTTCGAAATGAATATTTGCTCACTTCCGAAAAGAAATCCGAAATACTAAGCTTGCATAAACGTTATTCAACTGGTCTTATGAAGTTAAGAATCAATCCAAAAGACTTTTGAAGGAAAACAAATTTAAGAAAATGAGTCGCATTCGACTAAACGAGAAGAAAACAGCTTTTTAACATGCAGTTAATCAATCTTTATGCTCTGTTTGACAGCTGGATTAGCGGCCAGCTCTGCAGCTTGTCCGATCAGCTGAAAGGCGAAATGTATAACGCCAAAAGGAACAAAGAAGAACGTCTCAAGGCTCGGGAGGAACTTGACGAGAAACTCAGCAAGCTTAAAGAAGGCAACCCCATCCGAGAAATCGAGGGCGCCATAATTTTGTATGTGAAACAAGTGGAACAAGAACTTGCTTCCTACCTACAAACTGATGAATTTAAAAGAAACTTTTGCAGGTGGACAGAAAACCCTCTGCCTAAAACGGAAGAGGGTCAAAACTTTTCAAAGATGAAGGAGGCATTTAGCAGATGCATTGAACAACGATTCGAGACTCTCCTCCAAAACTGGGAAAGAAGAACGAATTTTTTCACGCAAGCACGCGCAGAACTGGAAGCACTATTTAACAAAGGTTTCCTAGAGTTTGAGAGAGAAATTCGAGACATCGACCGTGTTCTTACTGGGAGTGACGTGGAAGATTGCCAACCTTTTGAGATTCACCCAGGCCGGATTTTCTCACCCTTAGATCCAGGAAGGAGAAAATTTCTAGTGATGACTGGTTTGATTTTATGGACAGTTTTGGTACCTGTAGGCCTCACTGCCGGATTTCTTACTGCACCCGTCCTTGGGGTACTGGCATTTGGAAAGCATTTAAAGGAACTTCAACTGAAGAACAATTGTTGTCAAACACTAACAGACCTCTCGAAGAAGTTCCTTGACGACTTCATCAGAAATAAAATCCCCAGTTATGTTCAAGACAGATTCAGCGAGGAGACGAATCGCATTGCAAAAATCAAGAGGTGTCACCAACAGTTAATCACCAAATACGAGCAGCGATGCAAAGATCTGACAAAGAGCGAAGACGAATCAAGGGAAAAAGAGATCCTAGAAAAATATAGTCCATTGCACTCAAACTTGAAGAACATGAATGAAAACTTGATATTCGATGCGATCCAAAATGGAATACAGGTGATGTACCCATCTTGCCAGCTTGATTTGAGACGACTTAATTACAATGAGAAAGAAAGAGAGGCTCACCTTGGTAAAGGCACTTATGGGACGGTTTTCAAAGGAAGATACTCTCCTCCTGGACATGAAAAAACAGATGTTGCAGTCAAAAAGATCCGGGAGCATCCTGATAAATCAAATGTTGCTACCTTTCTAAAAGAAGCAGCGATGCTAAAGTAAGTTTTTTAGATCAGAATAGCTAGGGAACAGTGCTTTTACCTCATGCAGAAGTGAAAGCGCTCGACTCCTATGGCGTGGGTTCGATTATCGTACCTGGTGTTACATGCGGATTGACCTTGTTATTAGTTGTTGTCCTTGCATTTAAGAGTTTTCCCAGGGATTCTCTGTTTTTTTTCTTCCTTTACTATAATTATTTATGCTAAACTAACACAATTTAATTTAAAAAATAATGGAGTCACTCTGTGAAATGGCCTCTGCTGAGATTCAATTGACTGATCGCAGGTGCACTTAATTTTATCCTCCCCAATCTGCAGATTAGGAACAATTAACTACAATTGAAATTATTTGGTGCCATTTCCATTTTAAATAATCCAGTTAATCCTTCCGTTATTCAATCAGATGTGAGTATATAGATTCTTGGGTGGTAAAATTCCAAGCAATAAATAAGCTCTTGCTTTTCACCATCATTTTACAGTAAATTGTAAAGCATCGTTAATTTTACTCCAGGGAATGGGGCCTAAAATTTATACATTATCATAAACTGTTAGAAAAGATTGCTAATCGGATCGCACTTTTACGCTTTCACAGCTCACTTTCAGAAGGCTTAAAAAAAAGACTACCCTGGTGAATTCATTGCAATTTGAACACCCGGGTACTTAGCCTAACTCAATATTAATTTGGTCACCATCTTTCACGCAGGCAACTTGAACACAAGCACATCGTTACATTTTATGGAGTGGGCATAGACGTTCAAAACCGAGAACTCGTTTCACTGGTTCTAGTGTTTGACTTGTGTATCAGGAGCCTAAACCAGCAAATCTTTGAAAATGATGAGTACATTCCATGGAAGACGGCCAGTGCAGCAGCTTGGATCATGCCCCGGGCAAAACAAATCTTAGATGCGCTTGAATTCATCCATAGCAAGAATGTTGTCCATCGGGATCTCAAGCTAGCCAACATTCTAGTGAGTTGATAGAGGATGAAATGTGATCAATTATAAACCAGACCAGATTTTAATGATCAAAATGAAAAATTATCCTTTCTTTGTGTTGTCACAATCGTAGGACAAAGAGAAAATTCTGGTGAGTCAGTAATTAGGAAATTAGAAATTAGGTAATGGAAATTAGGTAATGGAAATTAGGTAATGGAAATTACGTAATCCTAAAATGACCTCGGAAAAAAAGTGCTGGCTAGACTTTTCCGATATATCAATGACTGTTTCAACAGTAATCTGCCGGAAATCTCGATTTGGTAACCATTGTAAAAATATCCGAAGCAAAAACTCATCCAATGACCACATCAGCTCAGATGTTAGGTTCACATGTTGGAGAATACTCTGACTCCACCACCAGTGCATAAATTATTACGGCGTCACACTTTATTAGCTTAATATTTCATTTGCTCGAAATGAGCATTTGATCAATGCGAATTTTTTCTCGGTTATTTTAAAAAGTTGCATGTAAGATTCCATTGAAATCGGGATGAGCTGCGGCGAGATGAGTCCTTTAGCCACACTTTATTCTCTTAATATTTAAGTTGTTCGAAATGAGCATTAGATGACTCGAGTTTTTTCTTGGTCATTTGAAAAATTTGCATGTAAAATTATCTTGGTCGATTTTATGCGAATGAAATCGGGATAAGCTGCGGCAAGGTGAGTTTATTGGCTCCTATGCTGTCTCTACCACCGTTTTGAAAATTTGAAATATACAGGTACTTGGCAAAGGGACAAAGAGTTTAACCTAAAGCCGGAGCAAATAGGGGTTCTTTTTTGGATTGATGTTTTGTAAATTAAGAAACCTTTTCAGGAAACTAACTTTGCCTGACATTATTTGCAGATCTCAAAAGATGATTACATCAAAGTTGCAGACTTGGGCCTAGCAACCTTTGAAGACAAAATCATTGGCACAATGTGTGGGACTCAACCGTATATGGCACCGGAAGTAATGGAAGGCAAACTTTACAGCACAAAGGTGGATATATACAGTTTTGGTCTCATGATGTGGGAAATGTGGTTTGGGAAACGCGTCTTTACCGAACTACGCCGTGAAGAATTCTTTACTACACGAATTAAAGACGAGGATTATCGTCCACAAATTCCCGAGAATGGTAATCTCCCTCCAGCAAAATGGATAGAGCTCATGACATCGAGTTGGCAATCCGACTCAAGTTTGAGGCCAACAGCCACCAAATGTAAAGACATTATTAAGACAATTTCTGTCGATGCTTAAAAGCATCGACATGTTAAGTAGGTTACAGGATGATTTATCTCCTTTTGCGTTCATAATAATTTTCAGTTTATTTTCAAACAACTGACATCCATGCTCAGATGAGTTGATCCTTAGGGACCAACAGAAATATATGCCGGTGAGACCAAAATATAACAGGAATTTCGGCTTGACTCAAAAAAAAGGTACCAGTAGCTTTGTGGGTGAGAGCCTGGCTCATTTGCCCTCTGCGTAAATATTTTCGTGAGCCTAAGGCGCCTTTCATTTCTAGCCGCACGATTATTCGGCCCTAGGACTCCAAGTATGAGGCATGTTTCAATCGTTCAACGGTCGCAACAATTTCATGAGCTCTGGAGTTTAATTTGAAAATACTTTTATTTCTATTTTATCAGTTCCACTATGAATTCAAACAATCTAGAATGCTCAGTTTTTACAAAAAATGTTACAAAGTAGATTAACAGTGGAGGACATCTCAGTTCTACTATGAATTCAAACAATCTAAAATGCTCAATTGTCACAAAAATAAATTACCAAGTCTTTAACAGTGGAGGACACCTGAGTTCTACTTTGAAGTTAAACAGTCTCGAATCCTCAATTGTTACAAAAAAAGTGATAAAGCAGATTAACAATGGAGGACATCTGAGTTTAACTATGAAGTTAAACACAGATTTTTTTTTCTCTTTGAACCTATATATAATATCAGTTAATGATCAATGATTGTAATTGTTGCCTCAAATTTTTTTCAAAGAAGTTTGATTTCTTATCTTATCTTACATTTTATTACCAAGCAATAGAGTGAAATTAAGTATTATATCAAATTTACAGAAGTTTGTACAATTTACTCGAAAAACTGTTTAAGTACGAACAACCACTACACTATTTATGAGTGTTTCACTGAAATACTGTTTGAGCTATTGAAGAGATTTAAAAATCAAGTTGGTTTGAGAAATTTTGAACCCTCAAAAAATCGAACCAAAGGTGACAAATGTTTTTGTTCCGTAAAAGGCTTTGAAATACATGTCTAAGGCACTCACAAAAATACTGTTTGAAAATAGCTGGGCATGGTCAGTGCTTTCTGTAAATGCACTATAGCCACAGCTATTAGACTGTAATCAAACAGAGAGGTTTTAAAAGATCAATCAGTGTTGAATATTTATACACTAAAGTAATGTACCTCTCAAAGAAGTGCTTTGGTCACTATCAGAACTCCCACCCCCCCTCGAATCTTCTTCATCAGACTTACATGTATCACTGCGACACCCTAAAAGGAAAAAAAATTTGAAACTAAATCAGCTTTGAACAGTGAAAATTTGATCAGGATTCACAGGTGAGCTACTTTTGACTGCATATATACTGTACAATGAATATGTGAATGATCATCACAGTTATGAACACTGATTAAGCAGTAGTGAAAATAAAACCCAAAAGAAATTCCAGCTTGTGCAGGAGTCGACCCCATGACCTCTGCATTCCTGGTGCAGAGCACTGCAGCAGTAATGCAGAGGTCATGAGTTTGACTCCCACACAAGCCTGAATTTTTTTGGCCTTTATTTTCATTACTGCTTAATAAGCGTTCATAACTGCAATGATGAATCACACATTCATTCTTCAATCCACAGTTCAAATATATGATTTTCATATATTCACATTCATACACTATACAATGTTGCTTAGCTACTTATTCCTCCAAAAAATCTCTTCTTGTCTGATTGGGTGAAATCATCTGGTAAATTCTATGTAATCATGAGCTTGCAGTGATTGTTGAATATTTTTGGACTCTCCAATATCTTTTCAAGGCTATTTGGGCCAGCAAAAATGTTTAGTGACACTGCTCATTAAACATTATCCAACATCTCACTGTTTCCAATATCTGTAAGCTCAGAACCCAGTTGGAAGCATCAACCTTATGCCTGAAATATTTATAATCTCTTTTCGGAACAGTTGGATGATTAACACTTAATGGTAATGCAGCTATAAAATTATTATGTTGTAATTATTAACTTGCTAATCTTTCTACAGCTGCCTTTCTCATTTCCTCAGCTTTCTGTCTGTCAAACTCATCCCCCTCTTTCTTTTTCTTTACCTCCTCTTCTGTCTTCCTCATCTTTGTATCTCTTCTGTATGTAGTTATATCCTCACAGAGCTGCTGCAGCTTAGTCAGCTCCTCTTCTGTGCTTGACCTTTCAAAATCTAATTACGGTCAAACTTGAGTAAAATGGTCACCAGCAGCTTTATACAGGTTGATTGTTTAATTTAGGTTCTACCTCTACTGAATAAAGAATTTGATTTTCAGTGTTCAGCCCTACATACCTTTTTATTGGTCGTTGAAAGAAATTTATATCTCTTGCTCATTTGTAATAAAATAAACTACAGCTTTTGAGTACTAGTTTAGTTATATTTGATTACACATTCGGATGGTATCCTGTTACTCTATGAAGTGATTGCTTAATACAATAAAAATACACTCGTTGGGACCTAATTGCATCGTAAAAGGTGACCGCTACTGCTAAAAGAGGTGGCCGCTAATAGAGGTCACAAAACTTGCAATAAATAAGGGGAGAAATTTTCGGGACTTTCAAAACTGACCGCTTAATACAGGATGACCATTAAATACAGGTTCACTGAAAATGTAGAACATAAAAGGAGTAACCACGCTTTTATCGAATTGAAGTGTTGGGACATTCTTATCCTTTCAAAGCTTTGGCGTCCTCCGATTAGTATTTCTCAAGTATTCTATCCATCTTTTCTTGACATCCTCTACTTGTTTATCATCAGTAGAAAAAGCTTTGCTGAGTTAATTTTAGCTACTTCGTCCCACTCTTGGAGCTTTTCAGAGAAACACTTTGCCAATTTCTTTGCAAGGGCCAGCTCGTGCTGCACCTCTGGCCATCGGAATGGAACATGATACCCTGGAATTAAAAAAATTTAAGTTTTCTCAGATACCATCTACTGCTGCTTGAATAATAAACCTTAAAGGTGAGAAAACCCTTATTTATGAGCTCACAGAAGGCCACTAGCGACCGAAAACTTCGAAAAAAACATGAAATTGAAGAGGCCGCCGTATTGAATTTCCAGACAACAGCAGTGTTTGATTTTCAAACGGCAACAAGAAGTCTTATTTTCACTCATTCGCTAAAAAGATATATCTAAACTTGTTCCAAAAAGACTGGTTTACATAACCTTCTGATTTGTACGTGGCATAATTACAAATTCAGGATAAAAAACGTTCAGGTCAATCACTTACGTGAAAACCCACCTCTTGGCGTTGAAAACGCGCGTTCAGAACTCCCAACGTGACCGCACGGCTTGATCACGTGACCTCCACCGGTTTGACGTTCGAGGTTTCCGCTGAAAACCCTGGTACTAAATGTCACTATTATAAGTAACTCAAGATATCTTGCTTTCAGTGGCATACCACTGATTGGTCACCATGCTCCAAATCATGTGGCAATGGGGTACAAACACATGAAGTTATCTGCCGTAAGAAGATCAACCCTACAGATTATGGGCCAAGCACAAGCTGTGCTGCTAATAAGAAACCAAGCATTTCTAAGAAAGTTCGATATTGTAACAGCATCGATTGCCCGGCTGACTGGGAGGAGGGGCTACCGGTAAGTACCTCCTGTTTTAAGAGGATCTTTCAATTGATCACTTTTTATTTTCCCTATTAGGAATTATAGTAAAGTTCGGATACAACAAGCACTGTCATTGGTTGAAAGTGCATGCTCTAACAGAGTACAGAGCACGTAGCTAAGCTAAAGCTGTCACCCCATTTTCCTGACAATTTGTTCTATGTTCGACCATTTCCCGGACTTCTCTCTAGTTTTTTTTTCGATAACTGAAAGTGGAATTTCCGGACAAGCGAGCTGGGAGAAGTGGAGAGAAACACTAGACTACGTACCGTGTTTTTCCCTACACCTCTTTCGCGCTCTAGCCACTTCCTGCCTCCTTTCTAACAGAACAGAGCACAGTCAAGGTTTCTTTTCTTATTAAGCATACAGTAAGATATTATGATGGTGACATCAAGTTAAATGGCGTCCTAACAATGAAGTTTTATTGTTCATAGGAATCTCGAGAGTATTTCTATAAGTTAAACTTCTCTAATTAACCTTGCCAGAACTCCCTTTTAGCACAAAATGTCAATGGAGGGTTCCCAACCTCACATTTTGCAAACTTTAATGATCTCCCGTTCTCATTTTTTTGAAAATCCATAAAGTTTTCATGCACGAATGTGCAGAGCCATTGTCTTTTATATATTTGTATTCCGATGCGTTCTCGTTGGTGTCACTGTCGGGGTTTTCCGAAAGTCCCGTAAAGACCAATTAATCTCTTTCTTTTATACTTTCAAGCAGTAGTCAGTGACGTACGTATACCGCAAAATTAAGAATCAGTTTGTAACACTCCTCCATACATTATTGTAAAGTGTAGAGTGAAGGCTACCCAAAAATCACTTGCTCCAAACTCAGCCGGTCACACCAGTTATTTTTTTTCTTCTCTCTGATTAAATTTTTCGTTAAGTTTCAATTTTTCACTGTAGCCGACGGGTTTCTCCCCTCGCTACAACACTAGCCCTCGCCCTTACCAGATGGCTTGTATCTTCCCTCTTACTTTACAGAAAGTCGAATGCGGAGAGCCAATTGATCCAGAGACGCTGTTTTGTTACTAATTGGATCACTCTGACCAAAAAGCCATGGTGCATGCCCGATCTACTGTGTTGGTACAGAACCAAGCCGACACGTCTGCCATGTACAACCACATCACGCCCCACAGAACAAGACACGAACTCACGGATCCCAACTTACCCCGACGAAAAAGACGGTTCACAATCATATCGATATCACTGTTCAATATTTATCAGCGTATTGGTTCCCGTGCGTCAGATTTTGCTGGATTATTATAATCTGGCATAGGTGACATTTCCTGACGCCTGTCCCTGGGGAACTTTGATTATAAATTGTCAGAGGTTCCTTTTAGTTCAATGCCAAGTGGCTCTCTTTCATCGGGG